AGAGAGAGACAGAGACACAGAGAGAGACGAGGACAGAGAGAGAGACGGAGACAGAGAGAGAGAGGAACAGAGAGAGAGACGGAGACAGAGAGAGAGACAGACAGAGAGAGAGACGGCAGACAGAGAGAGAAACGGAGACAGAGAGAGAGAGAAACGGAGACAGAGAGAGAGAGAGGAGAAACGGAGACAGAGAGAGAGGAGAGAAACGGAGACAGAGAGGAGAGAGAGAAACGGAGACAGGAGAGAGAGAAGAGCGAGACAGACAGAGAGACAGAGAGACAGAGAGAGAGAGAGAAACGGAGACAGAGAGAGAGAAGAGAGAGAGAGAAGGAGAGAGAGAGAGAGAGAGAAGAGAGAGAAGAAGAGAGAGAGGAGAGCGAGAGAGAGAGAGAGAGAGAGAGAGAGAGAGAGGAGAGAGAGAGAGAGAGAGAGAGAGAGAGAGAGAGAAGAGAGAGAGAGAGAGAGAGAGAGAGAGAGAGAGAGAGAGAGAGGAGAGAGAGAGAGAGAGAGGAGAGAGAAGAGAGAGTAATAATAATAATAATAATAATAATAATATAATAATAAAATAACAATAACAATAACAATAACAATAACAATAATAATAATAATAATAATAATAATAATAATAATAATAATATATATAATAATAATAAATATATAATAATAATAATAATAATAATAATAATAATAATAATAACAATAACAATAATAATGATGATAATAACAATAAAAAATAGTAATTATAATAATAAGCAAAACAAATCATAATAATAATAAAAATAAAAACTACAATAAAAATAACACCAATGCCTAAATAGACAAAAATATTAACAACCACTACCCACATTAGCATATCCTGGCTGTCACCTGAGGCCAGAGGATGGCTCACAGTCACGTGTAGCACCAGCCGTAACGCGATCCTTGTAACCTGACCCGGACTGTGATGGGGTAGGGGGCTTAACAGCAAGGGATGGAGCGGTCATCAATGTAAGACTATGAGTAGGGAGTTGCCGACTTATAAACGATGATGATGATGATGATGTTGATGATATGGAATGTTATTTTGGCGTATTGTGGGATAAATATACATTGTGCACCATAAGAGACATTCAGCATTATTCCCTGTGAGAGACATTTAGTAAGGTGAAAAAAGTACAGAAGCCAACAACTTTCATTCAAGTTTGACAAATCAAAGTAAAAAATGTGACAAAGTGTGGACACATAACTGAAGAATATCATGTTGATTGTGAATGAAAAATGTTTAGGTTAGGTTAGATTGGCTATTACTATTTAGAATCCCATCTTTAGTTTTCTGTTAAACTTTATAAACTATAGCCTCTATAGATGCTAAGGTAATATATGGAATTATCACCAATATATGATGCGTTTCTACACAGCACAATACCATAAATATAACATTTCTTACTAATGAGCCCCAACTTCAGTTCCCTCCTCGGCAAGATAGAAAAAAAAAAATATCATGAAGACTGATAATCTGTATCTTGCCAGAATATACTGAGAAGAGATCTATTTCCCCTTTCCAGGAAAAAAAAATAGCCATATGATTATGAATTTGTAAACTTTGATAAGCATAGTGACCTTATCTTTTGTACCTAACTCTAGGACAGATAAATTAAAAGTCATTGGTGGACTGTATCTGTATATATTACCCAGCTGTAATAGTTTCAGTCACCAACTATGGTGATAATAATAGCAGTGTCAAACAATTACCAAAGGGAAGATAAAGCTTGTAGCCTTTCCTGGCAATTTCTTGTCAAATATTTTTGGTCCCTTCTGGATCATGTGCTTTCCCCAACAATCAAGATAAATATCATCCCTATAATTGGTTTCTACACTTTAGAACAAGCTTAACTGGACAACAAACATTTCAAACAGTTCAGCATTTCCAAATTTATAAGCAGTGGCAATGCATTGATATTTTGCAAAATTACCCTACACTTACTTCCTGCAGATTGACTTTTACATCATTCCATTACTTGATTTTCCTCAACCGTTCTGTAGTCTCTTCATGAACACTTTCCAACAAACTTTTATTTGCAAGATCAGAGAAAAACAAAAGTTTTATTTTCTGCAGATAAATAGGAAGTTCCTTAACAAAACTGCACATGTAATTCTGATGAAGATTTAGTCAAAATGTATCAATGATTCATCTTGAAGTCTGAAAGTATTTTTTCTCATTTAACATTTTTCTAAATTTGTCATAATGAACTCTAATAAAAAGCAACACATAAGATATAGAAAACTTATCCATCAGAATGAAAGATTTTTTTGCATAAGAAATGTATATATTTGAAGCCTCTCAATTATATCTTCATGAGAAATACATGTGTCAGAGAGAGATTACAAGACATATATCAGACATGAGCTGAAGATTTATTTGACATCCATGATCAATCACTTGACCTGTCACATGAATGTTACAGCAACCTTGGATAATTTGAAGCTGTCCATACACTGTGTTGAGTTCTTCCTCCAACACTATACATCCAGCTTTCATGATTTTTCCTTCCTGTTTATCAAATCCACCATGGATTGCCTTTCCTAACTGGCAGCCTAGTAAGAAGCTTTGGGTTGATACGGCAATCTTTGGGGTAGATACTACATTTGGGATGGGGTTCATGTGTTTGTCTGTTTGAGTTCGTGATTTGGTCTGTCTGATTCTGTCCTGATTTATACAGTAACCAATTTAATAAACTGTGCGAGCTCTCAGGAGACTCTCGATCACATACTGTTTCTTTATTGACTGGGCTCCCACCGACCCATTCATCACCTGAGGCTGGTTGAGTGCTGCCGGGAAAACATATTGTACATAAACAGACAAAAATATAAAAGAAACGGCAAACACTGTATCAGCGGAAAACACAAACTTCGTATGGGGTGGCAATCATGTGATCAGTCAGGAATATCATGTGATCTTCTGGTCATTTCTGATTTATGCATGTTTTGTGATCTCACTAATACATTTACTTCTGAAAAATATATAATCAAAATGCATTAAATAAATCTCTTCTCCATGAAGTATTTTTTCTCATTTTTACCTTTATCATCAATCACAATGAACTCTGCAGATAGGACCTTACCCTTGCATGTAAAAACTTAGAACCATACCAAGGTATATTATCATTATTTCAAGACCCTGGAAATAAATAACAGCCAGACTGGTTATATTTCATTAAATAAAGAAATCTGACTGGGAAAAAATGAGGCAATGGGGTGCATAATACAATACGGAACTGAAAGATCGAATAACAAAATCACAAAATCATAGAATTCATCACAACGGAAAGATTAGGAAATATAATTTATTTACAACATACAAATCACCCTAACAACAGCCTCGTAAAGACAACACAAGGCAAAAACAGAATTAGAAAAAACGCGAATAAATAATCCTATCAAATATCAATCAACAGATGACAACTCCTGAAATAAATCACAAATCACTCTATAATTCACTATCTATAATAACAAGACAAACCTATGGCTCTTAATTCATACCTTCAGAGTGATAGAGGCGTTGGGTAAGGTAATTTCCATGGTGAAAAATGTTATCGATCAGACTTCGACAGTTCGTACAACAACAAATACTTGAGGTCGCTTATGCACCTTTACTGACGTGGGGCAGGGACTACGGGGTTATTTTCTTTTTTGTGAGACGTCTTGTGTTCGAAGTTTTCTTTTTGTTAAAAATTGGGGAGGCTTACGTTTTCATTATTTTTTGTGTGTTATTATCACATTGTGTAGTTTTTTTTTGTGTTTCTGTTAGACATTGGAACGGTTACTTTTTTTTGCTTTGTTTTATTATCTGATTTTGTAGCGCTGTTATATTTTTGTTAGACATGGAAACGATTAAGGATATATTTTCATTTTTTAACTGTTATCTTGACTTGTGTTGTTTTGCTAACTATTCATTAAAAACGGGAGAGATAACGGGGTTATTTTCTTTTCCCAAGTTACCATTTGTCCTGTGTTGTCATTATTTTGTTATTATCTTATTTTAGGCATGGGAGAGATGGCGGGGATAATTTCTTTTTTCGTATTTCTTTAATGATACCAACAGTAATGTTTATCATAACGACAATAGCGCTAATTGTTTACCACTTATTGCCGTAAATAGTAACTGCAGCAACACTTACAGGAACATGATATATTCCCTTAGTCACTGTTAATGCAGTTATTGTACTGTTAACATTATCATATTATGAAAGTGCAATCTATAATTATTACAACAAGGTCAAGAAAGTAATAATCTTAATGATAGCATTAATAGCAATTAATAAAAATAATAATAACTATTATTATTATTATTATTGTAATAATGATAACACACACACACACACACACACACACACACACATATATATATATATATATATATTATATATATATATATATATATATATATATATATATATATATATATATATATATATTATAAATACATATGTGTGTATAGTGTGTGTGTGTAACATACACATACATATAATATATATATATATATATATATATATATATATATATATATATATATATATATAATATATATATATATATATATATATTATATGTATATACATATATGTATATATACACATATACATATATATACACACGCATATATATATTATAATATATATATATATATATATATATATATATATATATATAATATATATATATATATATATATATATATATATATATATATATATGTATGTATAAGAATTTGACATAATCTACGGCATGGCAATCATCATAATGTTCCCAATTCATTTAATTAATCATGTAAGTTTCATCCCTATATGTGTTATTTAATCTACTCGTTATGAATAAAAATATCCAATTCTGTTTAAATCAACGTCATTAATTTCCGTATACATTTCTGGTATCTTGAAAAAAATGTTTTTATCTGTATTTGTTGCAATATGTGTACAAATGAATACAATACCTTCTTTGTGTGTGATATTAAGTCTCACAAAGCGTCTTTGATACCTTTAAAAGGATTTTTTCTATATTTGTTGCAAGTGTATACTGAATACAATAACTTCTTTGTGTATAATATGATAAGTCTGACAATGCTCTGTCAAGTTTGTCGTCAGGATTATTGAAACACAATATTCTCGCCTTTTTTTCTCTCGAATCCATGTAAACTGCAGCTCCAAATGCGAATAGACATCAAGAAAATACAATTATACAAAATCAAAATCGCTCCAACAAACACATCGAAAATCCTGCGACGTCCATTTAGCGTTTCGTTGTCCAGCTTCGTCTTGGTCGATTACCTGCTGTACTGGACGCCTGGGAGGACACACAGCATCTCGAACAGCAGATGCGCGCCCTGCAGAGCTGTCGTTCCTTCGAAGTCATAAGGGGGAGACACCTGCGAGGAGAAATAGGGGATGGGGCTAAAGGGGAGGGAAATAAAAAGAAGGCAAGGTATATATGCTTCTTGTCTTTGTATGTTTCTGTTTCTGTTTGTCTGTCTGTTAGTCTGTCTCTCTCTAGGTGCATTATTCTAAACACATTCTTGATAAATCACATAGAACATTATCAGTGCTCATGCCTTCTCTCTCTCTCTCTCTCTCTCTCTCTCTCTCTCTCTCTCTTTGCGTGCATTATTCTATCAAATAACTTTTAACACAAATTCTTGAAAAAAAAATCACATTTTCAATTCTCATTCACACTGCCTTTAACACACATACAGAATAGTCTCGGTCAAAACGTGTCAATAATGTTTCGAATTCCGTTTCGATAAAAGAAATCTTGCGACTTTTGTTAACATCAAGAGGACTTTGTTTAAGATTTTGCCTAAAACCCAATAAAAGAAAGAAGAAAGAAGGATTTTGTGCGTGGCTGTACATACGCAAGGAAGCAGCTGTGTCATTTATTGATTTGTTTATTTGTTTATGTTTACCTCTACGACATCGCAGCCCACGATGTTAAGTCCTCGGCATCCACGTACGATCTCCAGCGCTTGGATGGGCGTGAGACCTCCCATCTCTGGCGTGCCTGTTGGTAATAAAGGTGGGTTAGTGATAGCATGTTCCTTCTCTCTGTTTCTCTGTCTGTCTCTCTCTCTCGGTCTCCCCTTCTGCTTCTCCCTCACTCTCTCCTTCTTTCCTTCTCTCCCTCTGTTTCTCCCTCTTACTCTATTTCTCCCTCTCCCTTCCTCTCTCCTTCTCCCTCTCCCTCCCTCTCTCCTTCTCCCTCCCTCTCTCCTTCTTCCTTCTCCCTCCCTCTCTCTGAAGGAAAGGCTGAAAAAGGACCTGTAGGTTCAAAATATTCTCGTACTACCGACAACCATACCAATCTAAAAAAAGAAGAAGATAATAATAAATAAATCAACAAAAGGAAATAAATCAATAAATAGATAAAAACTAAAGAAATGGAGGATATTTTTTTCACCTGTTCCGGGACAGAAGCCGGGGTCAATAGCGTCGATGTCGAAGGAGATGTAGACGGGACCGTCGCCCATCTGTTCCCTCACCTCCTTCATGAGGGGCGTGAGGGACTTGTGCCAGCATTCCTCAGCGCCCACGACGCGGAAGCCCTTAGAGAAGAAAGTAAATTTGCTGTTTTTTTAATTTTTTAAAATTATTATTATTAATATTATTGTTGTCATTATTATTGTTGTTATTATTTTTTTTATTTTCGAAAGTGAAGGCTTGGTTGATTTTTTTTTTATTTTTTTTTTAAGTGAAGGTTTGGTGACGTTTTCGTGGTTGGTTTGAATGGGATTTTTTTTTCATTATGCTATCGTGTTTTTTTCCTTCTTTTTAGTATAATTTAGTTACCATTATAATTACCATTTTCCCTCCTTAATATATATCATTATACAAATACCACTCTCCCATCACCATCTGTGTCCATACACACTAACTTACTATTTTCATCACCATCGTTATCTAACACCATCCGCATCATACACCATCATATACCACAAATACAACAGAAGTCACCCCCACCAACACCACTTCACCCCCACCAACACCGAACCATCACCCTCTCTCCCTTCCTCACCTTCCTCTATCCCCTATCCTCCTCTCCCTTCCTATCCCTCTTCCTCCCGCTGTCCCTCCTCCTTCCCTCTACCCCATCTCCCCTCCTCCTTCCCTCTAATCCCCACCCCTCGCCCCCTCCTCCTTCCTCCCATCCCCATCCCCCCTCCTCCTTCCCCCCACCCCCACCCCCCCCCCTCTCCTTTACCCTCCCACCCTCCACCTTCTCAATCCCTCCACCCCCATCCCCCCTCCTCCTTCCCTCCAACCCCGACCCCATCCCCCTCCTCCACCCCCATCCCCCCTCCTCCTTCCCTCCACCCACCACCCCCGCCCCCCTCCTCCTTCCCTCCACCCTATCCCCCCTCCTCCTTCCCTCACCCCACCCCCCCCTCCTCCTTCCCTCCATCCCCCATCCCCCCTCCCCCCACCTCTCGCCCCGTCCTCTTCCTCCACACCCCCACCCTCCCCCTCCTCCTTCCCCCCACCCCCACCCCTCCTTCCCCCTCTCCCCCAAGTACCATATCCCTGCCGATGTTGCAGTCGTCCTCCGTGAGCGCCGTCCCCCTGAGGCCGATCTGGATGACCCTCGAGCAGTCGAGAAGGTCCTCCTCGTGGGCTCTCCTGAAGGGGGTGCCGTGGGCGATGCGCGACCCGAGGACCTCCTCCTGAAGGTCCGGGTGGGCGTCGATGTGGATGAGGCCAACCGGACCGTGTTTGTCCTGGGGGCGAGGGAGAGGGTTGAGGCGGCGGTGGGAGGGGGCGGTGGCTAGGTGGGTGGAAGGAAGGGGGGAGGGTGGAGGGGTGAAAGGAAAGGAGGTGGAAGGAAGGGAGAGGGGGTGGAGGGAAGGGGAAGGGGATGGAAGGAACGGGGAGGGGGGTGGAGGGAAAGGGGGAGGGGGTGGAGGGGGGGAGGGGTGGAGGGGTGAAAGGAAAGGAGGTGGAAGGAAGGGAGAGGGGGTGGAAGGGAGGGATGGTTGGAGGGAGGGTGAGGGGTGGGGGGGGAAGGGGGTGGAAGGAAGGGGAGGGAGGGGGTGGAGGGAAGGGGGAGGGGAAGGAAGGGGAGGGGGTGGAGGAAGGGGGAGGGGAAAGAAGGGGGAGGGTGGATGGGGTGAGGAAGAAGGATAGGAAGGGAGAAGAGGATGGGGGATAGAGGGAGAGGAGGAGGGGGGATAGAGAAGGTGAGGAAGAGAAGAGAGAGAGAGAGAGAGAGAGAGAGAGAGAGAGAGAGAGAGAGAGAGAGAGAGAGAGAGAGAGAGAAGAGAGAGGAGAGAGAGAGAAAGAAAGAGATGGGTGGAATGGAGGGACATAATATCATTATTTTGCACTGCTAGTTTTGAATACCTCATATGTTAATTTATCTATTAATTGCATTTTTTTGTATTGGTTTGGCATGTGCTTAGATTTATATAACCATATTAAAAAAAATCAGTAGTTGATTATCATATCTTATATAAATCATATACCATATCTCTATAAAAAATATCTATAAGAGAGAGAGAGAGAGAAAGAGAGAGCGAGAGAGAGCGAGAGAGTGAGAAGAGAGAGTGAGAGAGAGAGAGAAGAGATGAGGAGAGAGAGAGAGGAGAGAGAGAGAGAGGAGAGAGAAGAGAGAGAGAGAGAGAGAGAGAGAAGAGGAGAAGAGAGAGAGAGAGAGAGAGAGAGAGAGAGAGAGAGAGAGAGAGAGAGAGAGAGAGAGAGAGAGAGAGAAGAGAGAGAGAGAGAGAGAGAGAGAGAGAGAGAGAGAGAGAGAGAGAGAGAGAGAGAGAGAGAGAAGAGAGAGAGAGAGAGAGAGAGAGAGAGAGAGAGAAGAGAGAGAGAGAGAGAGAGAGAGAGAGAGAGAGAGAGAGAGAGAGAGTTAATTTAGATATGTACGTTTACCACCATGGTTACATATACCAAAATATACGTTGCATGTGTCAGTACATAAAAAAAACTCACGCTGATGGCTTGGAGAATGGGATACGAAATAGTATGGTCTCCCCCCATCGTTAGGGGAATACACCCGTTTTTTATGATCTCCTTGTACTGGTCGCGTATGTTGTTGCAGGCTTCTGGAAGGCTGGAAATCACGGTAAATAAATATTATACACGCACATGTACACATTCTGCAGACATCCACTGAACAGTTTATATTTTTTCCTCACTTCATCCTCTCTTATTGAGGAACAGTCACGTATTTCCCTAACTTAGGAACAGTCCTCTCTTTCCTCACTTAAAAAGGGACAGTCACCCCTTTCCTTAGTCATAAAACAACAACCCCCCTTTCTTCATTTATAAAGGTAGTCCCCTCTTGCCTCACTTACAAAGGAACAGTCCCTCCACTCTCCTCACTTATAAAGGAACAATACTTTCACTTCCCTCACTTATAAAGGAAGTCCCCCCTTCCCTCACTTATAAAGGAAGTCTCTCCACTTCCCTCACTTACAAAGGCACACTCCCTCCACTCCCCTCACTTACAAAGGCACACTCCCTCCACTCCCCTCACCTATAAAGGAACAATTCTCCCTTTCCTCACTTATAAAGGAAGTCCCCCCCTTCCCTTACTTATAAAGGAAGTCCCTCCACTCCCCTCACTTACAAAGGCACACTCCCTCCACTCCCCTCACTTACAAAGGCACACTCCCTCCACTCCCCTCACTTACAAAGGCACACTCCCTCCACTCCCTCACTTACAAAGGCACACCCCTCCACTCCCCTCACCTAAAGGAACAATTCTCCCTTTCCTCACTTATAAAGGAAGTCCCCCCCCCCTTACTTATAAAGAAGTCCCTCCACTCCCCTCACTTACAAAGGCACACTCCCTCCACTCCCCCCACTTACAAAGGCACAGTCTCTTCACTTCCCTCACTTATGAAGGAACAGTCCCTCCACTCCCCTCACTTACAGAGGCACAGTCCCTCCACTCCCCTCACTTACAAAGGAAGTCCCCCCTCTTCAATCACTTATAAAGGAAGCCCCCCCACTCCCCTCACTTACAAAGGCACAGTCCCCCCCCTCCACTCCCTCCACTTATAAAGGCACAAACCCTCCACTCCCCCCACTTACAAAGGCACAATTCTCCCCCTTCCTCACTTGTAAAGGTTGAGCCAACGTCCCCTTGTCGGCGACGTTGAGGAACCTGAAGGGGTTGGCTCCCGTGCCCTGGTTGAACGGCCGCATGGGACTCTCGGCGCGCATCTGCCGGGGGCCGTACCTCGCGCCGCTGCGGTTGGAGGTGCCGGTGTCCATGGGAACGCCCACGAAGCATGCGTCTAGGCCTTGGGTGGTGGGTGGTGGTGTGGGAAGAAGGGGAGGGGGGGGAGGGGAAGAGGGGAGGGGGAGGGGAGAGGGGAGAAGGGTTGGTTAGTGAATTCAAAAGAAAAATTCATTCGGTGTTTATAATTTTTATTTGTGATTGTTTTTAGGTGGCGCTGTCCATGGGTGGGGGCGAAAGAGGGGAAGAAGGGGTGGTTGGGGTGGTATGGAGTCTTTTTTTTTTTTTATTTTAGTCTGTTTTTTGTATTTTCATTTGTGATTGTTTTATAAGTTTCAAAACATGCGTCTAGGCCTTGAGGGAGGGGGGGAGAAGGGAGAAGGGTGGGTTGGGGGTGTTATGGGGGCTTTTATTTATTTAGTGTTTCGTATTTTTTTTATTTGTGATTGTTTTCTGTGAGTAGTTTATGTGTGTTATTGATTGTGAATTTTTATGTGCGTTTTTTGGGCGATGGGAACGATTTCCATTAATATATGATTTATGTGTTTGTTTATCGGAAAGAATGCTTGGTTTGTTGATTATTTTCACTACTTTGCTATTGGTATACCATTTTGCTATACACAGGAAAATATTGGCAAACCTCTTCGTTATACACAAGGAAAAAACACATATCCGATTAGAATTTCCTAAAAGAACACCATTCGAATCGATTCATATTTTCCAGGCTTACCCACTACTTTGCCACTAACTTACCCTATACACAGTGATAATAATATAAAAAACAACAAAAAACGTAAATACATATAATAATCATATTTAAAACAAACAAACAAACGTATATACATATCCGATCACAATTTCCTAAAAGAACACCAATCGAATCGATTCAAATTTTCCCGCCTTACCCTCCGTCCCGCTCTGGACGGGGAGGCGCATGAAGGACGAGATCCCGCCCGGACGAGGCATCTTGGTGGCGATCAGCGGCTGGTTCAATTTTCGCTCCTCCGCCCGCGCCTCGGTGGTGTGGAGGGCTCTGTGCACGCCCACGGACCCCGCCCTCAGCTGGCCAAGTGGGCGGCGGAGCGTTGACAGGAATCTAGACATGGCCTGAGGGAGGAAGAGGAATTCATGGAGGAATTTGATAAAGTTGCGGGGATCTCCTACAATGATAGGGGATGAAATTTAGAAAAAACAACAACAAAACAGAACCATGAAAACATGCTTATGCACCGTCTAGCAGAAAGTATTAAGCATTTATGTCCATGTATTATTTCTTAGCATTAATTTACAATCATATTTTGATGTTAAATCCAATAAAGATTTTTTTTTCCCCTCGGAGGTAAAAAAAAAAAAAAAAAAAAAAAACAGCAGCCATGAACTACCATGAATGTTCCTACGGCTCTTGAGTTTTTTTTTATCACGATAATCCTGATAAGCTAATTTTGTTGACAACAGCATTCTCTCCCTCTCTCTCTCCCTCACCCAAGTTTTCTCTATTTGTTCAGATACGTAATATAGTACACAACAAACTAAATGATACCATTGAAATTCAACGAATACAGGAATTTTACGTTTAGCAATATTTTCAGCATCACGAGGTGACCACACTCAACGTCACTGTATATATACGTAACAGACAGATTCACGTGTAAGTGCCTCACACAACCCACCCTGTATGGCAGGATGCTACACTTCTTTAACTGCCTGTCCCACTGGGTTCGGTGAGTGTTTTCGGACTCAAGGAACTA